AAATTACCACATCCATCCTTGGACAGCCCCAGGGACGCGGACTTATAAAAAATATTGGGGGGCCCCGGGAAAGCTCATGAATAATAAATAAGCTCATGAATATGCAAATAAAGTGGCGCCGCCTCCTCGTGAGCGAATAGGGGAGAGCGTGCTGCGCCTATTAATCAGCTCCAAAGGAAATTGGGTGGAGCTTTTGCTCGGGAGGGAGGGCAGGAGGCATGCAGCCCGCCCCTCCCTGTGCATTTTGGGCTGGGGGAGGGGCGGCGATGGCGCTCTGCTGGGGGGGCGCCGGAGATTATTGGGGGGGCGGAGCCCCCCAAACGAATTTTTGAGGGGCTCGGGCCCCCTCAAGCCCCATGGAGTCGGCGCCTATGGACAGCCCTAAGTAATTATACTACACCTAGGATATGAAAACTATCACCCAGCAGTGCGAAATGGCTTCTCTTGAAGCCATTTCAGCTTAGAAAGCCTTTCGGTTGATGCTGTTTCTCTAAGTAAATGGGAGGTTGTCCATCAAGGATGAGAAGGTAATGAAGCTTCATCTGCACTGGCACCATTAACCTTTCCTATCCTTTCCTTAGCTCCCTTATCTAATCGATGGTGAGACGAAGATCACACAAAGCAACGCCATCATGAGATACATTGCACGCAAGCACAAGATGTGTGAGTCTTTTTGGCCCTAGTGTTTCTTTGGATGCCAGCTTAAAATCAATCAATTAATTAATTCATTAAGTGACTGATAATATTCTTGCCAAATAATTGGTTAGTAGGTACACTCTTACCTTCTGTGTATGTTGTGTTTCTACAGGTGGTGAGAGTGAAGAAGAAATGGTCAGAATAGATATGCTTGAAAACCACATTATGGATCTGAGAATGGCCTTTGCCAAAGTTTGCTACAGTCCAGATTTTGTGAGTTTTGTGGTTTACATCCCCCCCTTCCCAAATTGGAACTGATCAGGAATCTAGCAGATGTTGAGAATCGTTTGGGGATCAGTATGGTGTGTGAGCGGGTCAAAAGAGAGCACTTACGTAAGGCTGGACAAATAATTCTTTCTGCTCTTGTGGGACTGGGAGTGGAACAAAGTCTGTAAAGTTACAACCAATAAGCAGGCATGAGAGAGAAAGGAAGTCTATAACTGGGGAGTCAGTAGTCCAAGGTTTCGCAAGAGTTGAGCTGGAAATCAATCTGTGTACCTAATAATTCAAGAACTTCTGGTTGCAGGAGAAGCTGAAGCCCGAGTATCTGGAGCAGATACCTGGAAAACTGAAGCTGCTCTCCCAGTTTTTGGGGGACAAGAAGTGGTTTGCAGGAAAGAAGGTACAAGGGCTATGTATAATTCTATAGAAACAAAGAAGTCTCTCTAGTTCTGGGGCTCAAATTACAATGTATTCCTCTTGTAATCTTCTAGATCACCTATGTAGACTTTCTTGCATATGACATATTGGATCAGCACTTGATGTTTGAGCCAAAGTACTTTGATGAGTTCCCAAATCTGAAGGATTTCCTTAGCCGCTTTGAGGTGAGATTTACTGGGATGTATGCACTGATCTCCAGTAGGAATTTTTCTTATATTGATAGCAAAGGAAATGCAATTCCTCGAGTTGCTCTTTGTCTCCCACAGCAACAACCCCGAGTGGTGCGGCAATCATTCCTTCTTCCCAGGCAACTCTGTGAACTCTGTAATACAGCTCTCAGCACACTTAAGGGACTACAGCTCCCAGAATTCTTTGGGGGAATTCCATGACTCTTTAAAGGGGTATCATAGTACTGTAAATGTACATTGTGCATGTGGCCTTAGTCTCAGTGCTGCCTTTGTGGAATTCAAGCAGGGAGTAGCATGGGGACAAAACCAGAATTAGTTAGCTGTGTTAGTTGCCAGGGGGTGGGGGCAGACTGGTCAACCCCTAGGTACACCCCTACAGGCAAGCAAGAGGCATTAGCAGAGTTCAAGCACACATTTCAGCCAGGCGAAAACATTTCTGAAGCATTGTGGATCCTAAACAGCTATTTTCAATTTTTCTCGAGAGTCAGGTTTAGACTCTTGCTATGTGTTGTTGCTGTTTAATGACTATTCCCTTGCAGGCTTTGGAGAAAATTTCTGCCTACATGAAATCTGACCGTTTCATGAAGGCTCCCATCTTTTGGAGACTCGCCAAGTGGAGCTATGAAAAAGTGTAGAGGAGACTGTGAACCTTAAAGCCTCTGCAGATGGGTGTTAGCATCAGTGATGGCCCCTGAGTGAATCACCATCCCTTCATGCTTTTAAACATGTATGTTATGCTGTGACCCTTAATCCAGACTGTCATTAATAAAACCTATTGGATACTGAAAAGATTGTACTGGCTTCTTTTTTTTAAAACTGCTTTTTATTAAGTTCTTTACTACATAAAACATAAGAACATTGAAAAACAAAACATAGAAAAATACAAACTGAAAAAAGAAAATGACGACAGCACATGTAACAAATAAACAAACAAATCAACTCTAAAACACTAATTGACTTCCCTCCATCTCGGTTTGGGCTATACAAACACAATACCTCTCTGCAGTTTTATTTGGCTAAATCTGTACGTCACAGGTTTTATATTTCACCTACTGTGATTTTAATATTTCCTAGATTTGCTTCAATGTATGTTGTAAATTTGTTCCAATCATTAATAAACTTTATACTTTTTTGATGTCTAATTTTCTGTGTCATCTTTGCTAATTCTATATACTCGAATAATTTAATTTGCCATTCTCTAACAGTTGGGTTGTTAGGAGTTTTCCAGTTTTGCGCTAGCAGTATCCTGGCGGCTACCGTTGCGTACTGGAATAATGTTTGATCTTCTTTTTTGATCTCCTCTCCAATCATTCCCAAGAGAAAAGCTTCGGGCTTTTTGGGGAAAGGTGTATTTCAATATTTTTTTTAATTCATCATAAATAAGTCCCCAAAACCTTTTCACTTCTTCACAGGTCCACCACATGTGGTGAAAGCTACCCTCTTTAGTTTTGCATTTCCAGCATGTTTTGTCCCCTGTCTTGTACATTTTCCCCAATTGATTGTACTTCTTAATTTTTCTGCCCTGCAGCCACAAAAAATTCTCCATTTGTGTTATGTACTTTTCAATTCCCATGATTCAAAGTTGGGTTTAAAATGCTGCCAGCAAACCAAGCTGGTGGCTACTTGTGTATCAAAAGAGCTTATTTCAAGAGCTCACAGGGCACAAAACAACCTGAATGGGGGTGGGGGGGAGGAAGGAGGAGGAGGAGAGGAGGAGGAGGAGGAGGAGGAGGAGGAGGAGAAGGAGAAGGAGAAGAAGAAGAAGAAGAAGAAGAAGAAGAAGAAGGTTGTCCTCTACAAAATTGCCCAGTGCACTGTGCCAATAAATACCTGCCAACCAAATACACTGGCAGGAAGCATTGTGGTCTAATGCAGCAGCTCCTGTTTGCCCAATTTGTAAGTGCTAGCATGCCAATCCTTCCACTTAAGGCTTTTCTAAGTGAACAATCAGTAGTATGTTGGGGTTTTTTAATTAGTAATTTCCTTAATATTTCACCAGTCAAATTTTCAATAAAGATATGCAGTAGAAGACATGGGGCAAAACAGCATTGTTGGAATAGGCAACAGCCTTTAATACAGTACAGTGGTACCTTGGGATGCGAGCGGGATCCGTTCCGGAGCCCCGTTCGCATCCTGAATAGAACGTAAGATGCAACGGTGTGTCTGCGCGTGTGCGGGTTGCGTTTTGCTGCTTCCACACATGCGCGTGACGTCATTTTGAGCGTCTGCGCGAGCGGCGAAACCCGGAAGTAACAAGCTCTGTTACTTCTGGGTTGCCACGGAGCGCAACCCGAAAGCGCTCAACCTGAAGCACATTCAACCCGAGGTATGACTGTTTTGAGGAGAAAAAGCCCCTTGGGGTTAATTCCCTGTGCCACTTTTTAATAATTCTGTGGGTTAAACCACAGAGCCTAGGACTTGCCGATCAGAAGGTCGGCGATTCGAATCCCCGCGACAGGGTGAGCTCCCGTTGCTTGGTCCCTGCTCCCAGTGGCGTAGCGTAGGTTGTCAGCACCCGGGGCAAGGCAAGTAATTTGCACCCCCTAACCCATGGATTTGCGCCCCCTAACCTGTGGATTTGCGCCCCCTAACCTGTGGATTTGCCCTAACCCCAGATGTTGCGCCCGGTGCGGCCGGCCCCCCCTGCACCCCCCACGCTACGCCACTGCCTGCTCCTGCCAACCTAGCAGTTCGAAAGCACGTCAAAGTGCAAGCAGATAAATAGGTACCGCTCCAGTGGGAAGGTAAATGGTGTTTCCGTGTGCTGCTCTGGTTCGCCAGAAGCGGCTAAGTCATTCTGGCTGCTCTCCAGCTGAACCCTTCTGGGAGCTGTCTGTACCAGCTTGGACTGTAGTCTTGAGTCCACTAACTATTGAGAAAGTCCCCTTTAACTCTGTGGGGTTTACTTCTGATGAGACATGTACAGGTTTGAGCAGTTAAGAAACTTCCCAAAGTCTCACCCACGCATCTCATTTGACCTTTTTAAAACAAACAAACAAACAAATAAATTTCACCCCGCCTCTCAACATAATGTCATATTGGAACTTTATTAAATAAATAATTACAGACCACACTTTCATTATATATATATATATATATATATATAATATAAATAACATATATATATCACAGTACAATATCATGGGTTTACAAATCAAAACACTCTTCCCAGTCTGAGTTGAGAACAAATTTTGCAGCACTCTTCAAAATTTGTTCTATTGGCTGGGGGGGGGGAATCTGCAATGGGAAGAGCTATTTCCGGAGCAGGTTTAATATGAGTTTGCGGGCTTATGTGCAATAATAAAGCCACTTTTAGGATTATGCGTATTTGCAGGTTTTATAAACTGTAATAAAAGCCATCCCCAAAACATTGCTTCCATGTCTGCTGCCTCATTAAAAATAACACTAAATAAAGGGCTCCGGCCCTTTAAAAGGCTGGACTCGACGCCGCTGCTGCTCCCTCCCTCCCTCCTCCGAGGTGGCTGCTGGCAGTGAGGCTGCGAGAAAGGGAGCTCGACGGGAGAGGAGAGGAGAGGACAGCGGCAGCATGACGATGATTTTGGGCTACTGGGACATCCGAGGGGTGAGTTCCTTGCGCGGAAAGGGAGGGAGAGCCGAAGAGGCGCCCCGCCCCGCCCCGTCCGCCTGCTGAGTCGGGTTCCTGCCTCGCTTTGCAGAGCCTTCCGAGGCGCTCGCTGTTCCCACCGGGGGAGTCGCGCCTGCGGGTGCCCCCTGCGCAAATCGGCGCCGTCCAGGGGCCGCGGGCCCAGAGCCAGCCGATGTTAAAGCCCTGGTTGGAGAAACCTGGGCCATTGTGTGCCCTCGAGGACGAGTGGTTTCTAAGGGGAGGAGGAAGAAGTCCCTCGGGGACCTTTCCTGGAAGGAGCCCGGTCCCGGCTGGTCGCGCTGAGGAAACGCGCTGCCGTCGAGGGGCTTTGCTGGAGATTTCCAGCGCATCCCTCGGGGCAGCGGCTGGGGAAAGGCAGACGGAGCACGCAGGACTGCTCCAGGTGTCTGATTCTAACTACAGTGGTACCTCGGATTACATACGCTTCAGGTTACATACGCTTCAGGTTACAGACTCCGCTAACCCAGAAATAGTACCTCGGGTTAAGAACTTTGCTTCAGGATGAGAATAGAAATCGTGCTCCGGCGACGCGGCAGCAGCGGGAGGCCCCATTAGCTAAAGTAGTGCTTCAGGTTAAGAACAGTTTCAGGCTAAGAACGGACCTCCGAACGAATTAAGTACTTAACTCGAGGTACCACTGTATATGGGAGATGACGGAGGGGCTCTACCCATTTGTAGAGCACAGAGCCTCCTTCCTTTGTTCACCTTACACCTCACTCAGTGCCAGATTTACATATAAGCTAAACAAGCTGTAGCTTAGGACCCCACTCTCTTGGGGGCCCCCCAAAAATTTAAAGGGGACAAAATTTGGATGTACATTTCCAAAATATAAGATAGAAAACAAATAAAATAAAGCCTACATACAGCAACAGTGTTTTATGTTGTGTAGGCTCCTATGATGTAGGTAATGGGCTCCGGCTGCTAGCCTGCTCCCTAAAATATCACTGGTTTGTTCATTTCTGTATATAGGATGCCTACATTCTGCATGCTACTAACATGAGGTTGATCAAGCTGCGGGAGGCAGTGGAAGACAGGAGTCTGGCATGCTCTGGTCCATGGGGTCACAAAGAGTCGGACACGACTAAACGACTAAACAACAACACATTCTGCATGGACTGGTTGCATGGCAACCTGTGCAAATGGCTTAGATACCTATTAGGTCCATAAATTACCATATAGCATATCTTCAAGACAAAAAACAGCAACAATTTGTTGTTGACAAAGGACAGCTGGACATATAAAGGGCCCCATTACCTTCAGTAGCTTAGGGCCTCATCAAATCTAAATCTGGCCCTGACTTCGCCAGGAGACAAATAACCAGCTCAAGGCCACAGTTTTTAAACCTTGGGTGACAAGCTGCAGTTAATCAAAACAAGAAAAGAAAGCTTTTGATCTTGTTTTTATGCTTGAAAAAGTACACCCAGCCCCCAAACCTTGACAGTAGGCTCATTTCTGTCACCAAAAACCGTGGTTTCCTGTCATGTCTGATCACAGCCACTGACATGAAACAGGGGGTTCAGTAATGCCAGGGTGCTATTGGGCAGGAACCTTCAGTTGCAAGCATCTGCTATCTTCATCTGTGAAATTTCAGAAGGATGCCAATATCCTTTGCCTTGGGCCATTGCTAGTCTGGAGCAGATGTAGTTTGCTGGCTTTTCTACCAATGGTGATTATTCTTCCACTATTCTTCCTGCAGCTTGCTGGTGCGATCCGACTCCTTCTGGAATACACAGGGACCCCATATGAGGACAAGCAGTATGCGTTTGGAGATGGTAAGGAGCTGACTCCAGAGGAGTTTCTAGCTGCATTATCAAAGTCTAGGGACAAACAAGCAGGAAGCTATAGCTACCTTCTTCCTGCCCTGCGTGTGACCTTCTCAGAGCCATTTGGCTAGTCACTGCTGGAAGCAAAATGACATTTGGTTTCCTGTCTTGGTAAGGCAGTTTTGCAGTCCCATTGATTAAACATTAGATGTGTCTAAGCTTTGTAGCTGTTAATTGACATAGATGTTCACTGTTGCTTCTAAGGTTTTTTAAACATGGGAATTGCCTGTCTTAAAGGCATGGGTGAGCTGTTACTTAAAATGTTCCTTTCCCCCGTTGATTGCTTGATGTCAGAGACATGGCCGGCAAAGGGGGATCTGCAGAGGGGGAGGAAGAGGCAGAGGAAATGAGAAACTTGATTCTTTCACACAACAAAAGTGAGATAAGCCTTCTCTGGAAGGCTGCCTGTAAGGTTTCCCAGCAGCACAGAGATGAAGGAGCAGGAGGCAGGTGGTAGGAGGCAATTGGATTCAGCTCCAGAGGAGAATTGGCTGCACCTGAATTTCCAAGAAGTAGGAGGCGGAGCAAGCGATTAGAACAAAGCAAGGCCAGCAGGAAGCGGGGGCAGGCCTGGCTTATATCTGGCCTTGGGAAGGATTGCTGGAAGCCTGTTATTGCTGATAAACCTCAACTAGTAAAACTGCCAGTGTTTCATGTCTTTGTGTGAGAGAAGTGCTAACCTGACACTTAAATACAGTGGACCCTCCGGATACGAATTAAATTCCTTCTGGGGGTCCGTCTGCAACCCAAAAAGTCCATAGGCAGAGGCGTCGCTTCTGCGCACGCAGCAAAACTTCTGGGTTTGCCGAGTTCGTAACCCAAAAGTTATGTGCCCAGAGTGGTACTTAGCTAGAGGTTCCACTGTATGTGTTTTAGGGGTGGGGAGCTGAATCCAGCCTGTGGGTCAGGTTCAGACATTCTCTAAAAGGCCACTTCCACAATCATGACCCCATCCTGGCAGGTGCCTAATCCCAGCAGGGCTTGGTGTCAGTGCCAATCAGCTGAGGAGCACACTTCAAAGTCCCAATTGTTTCTTTACAGCCACATACTTACCTGCCCAACATCTAGTGTCACATAGAATGCCAAGAGTAGGGCAAGTGTGATTGGAAGAAATGGCTTCATGGGCCAATTTGGGACCTTTGCTGGGCCTAATCTGGATTGTGGGGCAGATGTTAACCACCACAGATGTATGTGGAAGAGCTATGGTAATTGGCTTTTTAAAAAGAAGTCGCCAAAACAAGTTTTTGTTATGGCTGAACATTCTGATGTGCTTCTTGCGTGAAATCTGGAGTTCTGAAGTTCTCATAACGTCAGATTGCTCAGCTATGATGTTTCTTCTAAAACACACTTTCCACCTGAAGCAGTGACAAGAGGGGAAATAGTTGCCATTGTGGCTCCCCCCCCCCAAAACAGAGGATTGTGAGGAAGGGCTGAAAGTGCCCTCATATCCTGTTCCACCTCCTGCCGCCTTGATACAGAGAACCTCTTTTGAACCTTTGCTACTTATCACTGACCTTGCTCATAGAGAAACCATGTGCTTATCTCTTGACCAACAATGAATCCCTTCTGCAGTTAGGATTATAGTCAGTTGCTTTGGTTTTTTGCTTAGTGTCTTTGAATTATCTAGCTGTGGGAATTGTGGAAAGCAGAGAAAAAATATATCCAAGAACATTTGGAAATAGATGGAGCTTTTTAAAAGAAGTACGGTAACTTGTGCTTTTTATGTGACTTTCAAGAAAGAGTAGGATTAAATCCCAGCCCAGCTGCTGCCTCTGATCCTCAGTGGTGGACCAAAGGTTGGACAGCAGCCTGCAAGTTCTGGTGGCCACTTAGTGTAAGCCTCTTGCTCAATCTGGTCAGACCTTCATCTGGCCAAAAAGGTGGTTACGTTCTCATGTAAATATGCACACTGAAGATCACTTAACAATGGCTTAGTGTTTCTGAGTATGCCTTCTGGCTTTCATACATGCCAAATATCTTGGTGGACTTCAGTGATTTTAGGGTTTGTGTGTGTGTTTCATGTAGGCCATGTAAAATGTTTAGTGATGGGAGGTGAAATGGAACAGACAATCTCTTGTTGTGTCTACTTCTAGATGCAATTGCCTCTTTAAAAGTATGGGTTGTACTTTGGACAGTGGCCAATATGTTTCTACAGCTAGAATGACCTTCCCCAATCTGGCACTCTGGTTGTGTTGGACTATGGCTCCCAGCATGAGATTTCTAGGATTCATGCCTGATAACCCCCTTAGGAATGGAGCCAAAAACATAAGAGAAGCTGGAAATGAAGGGGAAAATAAGCCTGACTGGTATAGAAGTGAGAGCAGACTTACCATGGACTTACTTTTCATACCTGTATTTACAGCTCCTGATTTTGACACAAGTCAGTGGACTAATGTGAAGGAGACGCTGGGCTTGGACTTCCCAAATGTATGTAGCAACTGTGGAAAAACCCAGCAACATGTCGTTGTGCCTTGATGGGGATGGTGGGGTCATTCTCCTGCTGCTCCCTCTTTGAGATGAGTGAGAGCAATCAGGCCAGAGTCCTGGGCTCTTTCTCATCCGGATCTGCTGCACTGCTGCTTCAAGTACAGGTCACAGCTCAGTGGAAAATGAAGATGATGTGTGGGCAGAATCTAAAGCAGTGGATTGGCTGGAGGTTGAGATCTTCAGTGCGTTCCTGGCTTCTTGCTGGAGCAAAAGCTGCCAGGAAGCTAGAGGCCAGAGGTGTGCCTGGGGGGAGAAGCCAGGCCCTGTATATTCTGCAACTAAACTCTCACACACAACTCTCAAGTGCAGTGTTTCCCAACTGGTGGTGGCAAATTCTGTGCAAAATTGCCACGTCAGTCCTTGAGTAGCCCTAAATAATTATACTAGAGCTGTGATGCAAAAACTAACACCCAACGGTGTGTTTTCTCCTGAAGCCATTTCAGTTTAGACATCCTTTCTGCTGGCATTGTTCATCCTATGTAAATGGGAAGTTGTCCAGCAAGGATGACGGGGCGATGAAATGTTCTGGGTCTTCTGCACAGGCACCATTAACCTTTCCTATCCTTTCCTTAGCTCCCTTACCTAATCGATGGTGAGACGAAGATCACACAAAGCAACGCCATCATAAGATACATTGCACGCAAGCACAAGATATGTGAGTCTTTTTGGCACTAGTGTTTCTTTTGATGCCAGCTTAAAATTAACCAGTTAACTGATTGATAATATTCTTGTCAAATAGTTGGTTAGAGGTACGCTCTTATCTTCTGTGTATGTTGTGTTTCTACAGGGGGTGAGAGCGAAGAAGAAATTATCAGGATGGATATGCTTGAAAACCAGCTCATGGATGTCAGAATGACCTTTTCAAGACTTTGCTACAGTCCAGATTTTGTGAGTCTGGTGGTTTGAATCCTCCTTCCAAGTTGGCAATCCAGCAGATGATGAGAATTATTTGGGGATCAATATGGAATGAGTGGGTCGAAAAATAGCACTTATGTGAGACTTAACAAATACTTTCTTTCTGCTCTTCGAGGGCTATCAGAGGAACAAAAGATCTTTAGAGTTAGAGAGAGAAAGAGAGTCCTATAACTGGGGAGTCAGTAGTTCAAGGTTTCACAAGAGCTGAGCTGGAAATGAGTCTGTGTACGTATATACTAATTCAAGAACTTCTGGTTGCAGGAAAAAGTGAAGCCTGAGTACCTGGAGCAGTTACTCGGGGAACTGAAGCTGCTCTCCCAGTTTTTGGGGGACAGGAAGTGGTTTACAGGAAAGAAGGTACAAGGGCTATGCCTAATTCCATAGAAACAAAGATGTCTCTCTAGTTTTATGGATTCATTTAAAATGTCTTCCTCTTTTGATTTCCTAGATCACCTATGTCGATTTCCTTGCATATGATGTATTGGAACGGCTCTGGATGTTTGAGCCAAAGTACTTTGATGAGTTCCCAAATCTGAAGGATTTCCTTGACCGCTTTGAGGTGAGATTTACTGTGTTGTATGCATGGATCTCCAGTAGGAATTGTTCTTTTATCCATAGCAGAAGAAATGTGATCCACCAACCAACTGAATATTGGCAGTTTCCCTTAATCTGTCCCTTTCTTTATACATCCTTATTCACAGCCAGTCCACAGGGTTGCACTGAATGTCCTCCTCCTCAGACCACACTCACTCTATGTGTTTAAAGTGTTATGATAGCAGTTTAAAAAGTCATGTGCTTCTTCCAAAGAATCCTGGGAGGGCTTTTTGTTAAGGGTGCTTCCTGCAAGTTACTGTCTGGCTCTAAGAGCAACTGTCCACATAGGTTTAGCAATCAATTCCCCTTCCCATGTAACTCTGGGATTCCTGAACCGTATTCTCTGTGAGCAGAAACTCTCAGCGCACTTAATGGACTACCACTCCCAGAATTCTTTGGGGGATGCCATGACTCTTTAAAGGGGTATCATAGCACTTTGGATGTATATTGTGAATATGGCCTTAGTCTCAGTGCTGCCTTCGTGGAATTCAGCAGGGAGAATAATGGCTACAAAACCAGAATCGGTTGACCGGGATCCCTCAGGATCCATTCCAAGTTTATGATTCTATGACTTCTATGGCTCTGCTTGCCATTGGCTCTGGATCTACCTAATGTTGGTCTCCTTTCATCCTTTCGGAGCAGTTCCACTTGGTACCAGCCTCCACAGATTTACACATGTGCACCCCCTCCCTTATGGATATTAAATACTCTTTTTAAAGGGGGGGGTAGAGACACTGTGTATATGCTAACACTAGGGGGGGTGTTTCTGCAGGGTTTTCCTGCAGAAAGGTGCTTCCCCTGCCTCACCCCCTTCACACATCTACACACACACGTTGTGTAGATGACATACATGCTATGAGAGACTGGCAAAATTGCACAACAACAAAAATTTGCTTCTCCAGATAGTGAGAAAGTATCTGCTGGGCTGTGTGTGTGGCAGAATCCACAGAGAAACTCTGTCATATTTTTCAAGCTATCTGCTGTTGCTGTATACCAGGCGTAGGGATCCTTTTTTAGCCAAGGCCCACATTCTGTTCTGAGGAAGCTTCTGGAGGCCGCTGTCAGTGGTGGGCAGGGCCAGAGGCAAAAGCAGCTGAGCAATTGCTGTAAGTTTTAATTTTTTTACCATAGGCTCATTTCTACATGCACTCTGACACTCAACTCTATCCTCCATCTAAGGAAATGAGAGGCATTCTCAGAGTTCAGGGACACATTATAGCCAGGCAAACACACACAAGAAGAGTGCAAGCATGTCCTGAGTGCAAAGCATTTTGAGTCCTAGACAACTGTTTTCAGGTTTCCTCCAGAGTTGGGTTTAGAGTCTTGCTATGTGTGATGCTGTTGCTGTTTAATGACTCTCTCTTGCAGGCTTTGGAGAAGATTTCTGCCTACATGAAATCTGGCCGTTACCTGAAGACTCCCATCTTCTTGAAAAATGCCAAGTGGGGCGATAAAAAATAGAAGAGGAGAATGTGGACCTTAAAGCTTCTGTAGATGAGTCAGGGATGGCATCAGGGATGGCCTCTGAATGATTCACTATCCCTTCGTGCCTTTAAACATGTATGTTATGTTGTGTTAATGTTGTCATTGTGACTCTTAATTAATGTTGTCATTGTGATAAAAAAAGAAAAGGATACTGAAACAATTGTCCTGGCTTCTTATTCCAAGAGCTCACAGGGCACAAAACAACCTGACTGTGGGAGAGGGGGGGGGAGGAGGAGGAGGAGGAGGAGGAGGAGGAGGAGGGATTGTCGTCCCTTGCAACATTGCCCAGTGCAACTGATGCCCTTGTGCCAATGCCACAGGTTTCGTTTGTATGACTGGGAAGTGCTAGCCTGCCTTTCCTCCCAATTAAGGCCTTTCTACATGACCCATAAAAGCATGCCTAAGTATCTCAGAATACTTAGAATTAGCCAGATTGACAGACATAATAAGACAAAAACCAAAAAGAGAAGTAAAAAAAAGAATGGGAGTGCCTAAATGAATACCTCAAAAGTCAAGGTTCGGGGGCAGAAATCTGGCTGAGTCTGGAGTAACCTTGTGAAGTGAAAGGATATGAAAGAAGGATTTATATCTAGATGTTAGGATAGAGATGATAAAGAAAACAGGAAAACAGGAAGACAAAATGAGAGATAAAGGAGGTGCTGTGGGATTGGTGGAAGTCAATGTCTTGATGTTGTTGTTTTAGTGTTTATAATATTAGCTTGTAAGATATGGATTTGGTTTTTTTGGTTTGTTGTTGTTTTTTAGTTTTCGAATGTTGATTTTTGTGTGTTGTGTATTGTTATTTTTTGATATCTTTCGTGTTGTTGTTGTGTGGAAAATACTAATACAATTTATTTAAATAATGATAATAATAAAAAAGCCTGCCTAAGTAGGTTTTTTTTTAGTTCTTTCTGTAATCTTTCAACAGTTAACTTTTCAATAAAGGTGTGTGGTAGAAGAGATGAGACACTGCAGTGTGTGTGTGTGTGTGTGTGTGTGAATTGTTGGAATAGACAGTAGCTTTCAATTAATAATCAAATAATTTATACCTTGCACATCTGGCTGGGTTTCCCCAGCCACTCTGGGCAGCTCCCAACAGAATATTAAAAACACGATAAAATATCAAACACTAAAAACTTCCCTAAACAGGGCTGCTTTCAGATGATTTCTAAAAGTCAGATTGTTGCTTATTTCTTTGACATCTGATGAAAGGGCGTTCCACAAGGTGGGCGCCACTACCGAGAAGACCCTCTGTCTAATACTGTATTGCAAAGAAAAAAGCCACTTGAGGGGTTAATTCCCTGAGGTACTTTTTCAGACTTGTAAGAATGTTCAAAGTCCTCTCTCCAAAACCTGACTCCAGCCTGCAGCGTCTGGCTGCTCTCCAGCTTCTCTCTCCCAGGAGATGCCTGTATCAACTTGGACTGTAGTCCTATGCCCAATTAAGTCATAAGTAAGTGGGCATTAGGCTGCAGCCGAAGTTGTTACTGGGGGTTGAACTCAGTGGGATTTACTTCTCAGCAGACATGGACAGGGCTGAGTGGTTAAGAAATTTCCAAAAGCTTCACGAATGCTTCTCACTTGACCGTGTTTTGTTTTGTTTTTAAACGCCCTTTCCTCGCAACAGAAAGATCACATTGCAACTTTATTAAATAAAGTTTAACAAAACTTAACATGAAAAGTATAAGAAGGTGGTGTAGGACGTAAAAAACACGATGCCACAATAACATCGGGTTAGAAGAAAGCAAAACACTTTCGCACCCCCGTCCTTTTTCGGTGCTAATTGGGACTGACCCCAATGGGAAAGTGCTGTTCTCCGGGGCAGGTTTAACGTGCAATCAAGCCAGTTTTAGGATTGTGTGTATTTGGAGTTTTCATAAACTCTGTAATAAAAAGCCGTTCCCCAAACGTTGCTTCCACGCCCCGCCCACCTAATTAAAAATAAGATTAATCGACTCTGGCCCTTTAAAGAGCTGAACTCGACGCGCCTCGGCGGCTGCTTCTTGAGTCCCTCCTCCAAAGGTGGCTGCTGGCAGTGAGGCTGAGAGAAAGAGAACTCGACGGGCAACATGACGATGATTTTGGGCTACTGGGACATCCGAGGGGTGAGTTCCTTGTGCAGAAAGCGAGGGAGAGTTCTCCCCCCCTCCGCCTGCTGAGTCTGCTCTGCAGAGCCTTCCCAGGCTCTCGGTGCTCCGGCGGGGGGGGGGGGGAGGCGCGCCCGTGGGTCGCCCCTGCGTAAGTCGGCGCCATCCAGGGGCCTTTGGGTGCCCCCCAATGGAGAAGTTCCCCAGAGGAGCTCGAGCGACCGTCCCGCCCCCCAGCTCCCGGGCCTTGGGAAGCGGCGCTGCCGTCGATGCGCTGCCCTGGAGGCCCCCAGCTGATCTCCCAGGGCAGCGGCTGGGGAAAGGCAGACGGAGCTCGGCGGAGGCCTTTTGTCTGGCTGCTCCACGTGTCTGCTGCCCCCTGCAAAAGGCCGGCAGGTCCTGCGAGACTGTTTGAGGTGCACCCCCCCCACGGGCCTTCGCCTCGCCTCGTTTTTTGCGCGAACGGAGCTCGACGGGGCGCCCGCGGCGGAGGCTCGTTGGACGAGCGGTTCCCACCTGCCGAGCTCTGCTTCGTCCACGCCTACCTTGCCTGCGTGTTGTGCTGTTAGGACTCTACAGCCCTGTGCACGTGGAAAGTGGGGGGCCATTGATAGCGATTAGCCACGAGGGAGGAATGCTGCTGAATAACAGTTGCAGAAAATCACGAGTGGGCGGGGGGTGGAGAGGGCCCTGGGGCTCACATCCCGCTTGCGGGTTTCCCACAGGCATCTAGGGGTCCACTAGTACAAATTACATTCATTTCCCTTCTGACACAGCCTCTTGGTTCTCCCTCGGGGTCAAACTCTCAGTTCACCCGCAAATACCTCACCAGGAGAAGAGTTCCTGGAAGCAGCGGACTTCAAGTCTCCCTCTAGACTTGCTTTTTATGGTTAGGCCTAAGGCAGATGGTACTTGCTGGGATGCCCACAGCTGTGTCCCATTCAGCTGCATTCCCTATTCCCATTTCCAGGTATAGCAGGTTTGTTGAGTTTTCCAGGGGACCCAGGGGATGAGGAAAGCCCCCCTCCTTCACCCACAGCTCTTTCTTCACCCTCTGCCCTCTCCTCCTCCATCTTAGATGCTGACTGCTGCTGCAATATCTTTTTATTGTTCTTTCCTTTTTTCCAGCTTGCCCACAGCATCCGCTTGCTACTAGCGTACACAGACACCCCCTTTGAAGATAAGTTTTACAGCTGTGGAGAAGGTGCGTATTGGTAAACTTAGAATGTACCGACCTCCTCTTAATCACAGTACTAAACACTTTAAAAAAGTTGCTGCTTTATTAATAGTTTCCTGGTGGGGCAGAGGCAGTTTGCCTTTGGGCATTCTGAACAAGAGTTGGTAGGGAAAGTGTTTCGCTTGTGCTTATGTCAGCCAGTTATTTGAAATGCCGAAAGTCGCATTTTTGCAACTACATTAAACTTGCGTACTACAATCTGAAGGTTTGTCAAATTGCTGGAAGGCTCTGTGTGTGTGTTGATGAAGGGCTTGTAACACTCATGCAACTGTTGAAGGGAAAGATAATATTTAATATATCAGTTTGCTTATTGTTATGTAATTGTTACATAATGTTTATATACCGGTATGTCGCATTACACACCACCATATAATTCTAAATGGCTACCAGATGTTGTTTGGAGGAATATTCCTAGAACTGTGTGTGTGGTGACTCTGTTCAAGATTTAAAAAGGGGCAGAATGAATCTAACTAAATCTTGGCTCTCCCACACCCAAGTGTGAATATCTAAGTTTGGTTTCTGCGGTCTGTACTTGCCCTAATAAGCAACAGGAAACTAAATGATTCAAATTCCTACTTATTGCCACAACATTTGAATCACCTTGGTGCATAGAATGGAAGCACATACCATGAATGCAAAGGTGTATTAGAGGCTGCTGTTACCAAACCGTCACAATGAGCTTTTCAGGGTGATTGTGAAAGTAGATTTTATCTTGAGTGCTATATTGCTAGCTCACTCTGGTGTCTTTAGCTTAATCCCCTGCATTTGTGTGTGTTTGCACATGAGAGAGTGACAGAGAGCATAGGGAGAGCATAACTGCAGGGACAGTACCTCTTAAGTGGCTTTTTCTCTGCAAGCTTCCCTTAAGTCAAGCATGGATGAATATTCCAACAGTAGCTTTGCACAGTATGGGAGTATGCAACCACCAAGGACATATTTAGAAATGATTTCGGTGCCCCAAATCTTTGGGGTACATGCCCTCTTTGTGTTTGTTTCAGAATTAAGATGCGCTCATGCACTAGAGTGCAGTCTATGCACCACTCAGTTGGTCCACATTTCCTGCTTGTCTTAGTGGATGGTGATGGGGGATATTTTGGTTATGCACAGCTGGTGGGAAGTGGACAATGGGGAAAAAAGGCAACGGCCCTTTCCAGAGTCACTTCTTGAATCTGCTTGATTTCCGACAAAGAAGCTGAGGATGTGGCCAGATGCCACTGCCTCCAAGTTTAGAGTTTGCCCTCTGTTGTAACACAGTTAACAGTTAACAGCTGGTTCAAAATGTGCCAGCCAGGTAACTGACTTATTTGAGTTCTATTTAGAACTCGGATAACCCCTTTTTAAGCCAGCAGCAGCAGCCAGTTTGTTTCCAGGTCCAGTTCAAAGTGCTCAAATTAGTGTTTAAAACCTGGAATGACTTAGGTCACATTCCTTGTGTTAATTGGGAATGTTCAAGGAGGAGGAGGGAGAGGTTTTCCTAACTGTAAAATACTAGACATTTGAGTGCAGAAGCACCATCTTGAGGCAGATGTCTGCATTTGAAAACGTGCAACAGCAAGAACTGATTGTGCTTATAAACCCTGGTTGTCCAGAAAAGCCTTGAGCACAATGGAGGCTTTGTCTTATAATCCGCATAGCTCAGAACTTGCTGTTTTCCTCTTAACTGCATCTTCATTTTGCAAAGCGATTTCTTGAAATCTTCAGAATGTCCCCCCGGTTTCTTAGGATCTAGAATGAAAATATAAAACCAAGCCAGAGAACTGCTCCATGTAACTTTCAGAGATACTCCTCTGAATGGATCCTAGTGAGATGGACAAGTAAAGTGTGGGAAAGCAATTCAGAATGCTTGCCTGAACTTGTGCCCTTGACTTGAACGGGGCTTGCTATAACTCAGCAAGGCCCAGATCTATCAGCCTCTGTAGAAAAATATCCCTCAGAATGCTCTCACCAAGCTAACTCAGAATTAAATCTTGCTGAATTGTCACTGGACTTTGTCCTAACCACTTTCCTTGGGATTGCAACCTTAGCTACAAATTTATGGTGTGTGTGTGCGCATGCGTGCATGGCATTTCTTAAACGTTGATGGCCTTGCCTGTGCAAAGGAGAGTGTCTGAGCAAATTTTATGTGCAGGAAGTGAAAATCCTCTCTCTCTCTTCCAGCCCCCGACTATGACAAGAGCCAATGGTTCAATGAGAAGGAGAAGCTGGGCCTGGACTTTCCTAATGTAGGTCACTGTCTTTTTCTATCATATGACAGGTGGGAAGATGAATGTGCCTGGGTTATCCAGAAGTTCTGGAGATTTGGTGGAGGAATGTGCCTTTCTTCCTTGTGGTACTCCTCTGTAGGGCCTTGGGTTGGGAAGCAATGGTTGAGGAATGAGTGTGAGTAGAGTGAATGGGGGCCATTCATGGTGGAAGCACAAAGTTTCAAGCTGATTTGTCTTTAAGCTGATCATTCTTTGCTTACTTTCCAGCTTCCTTACCTAATTGATGGCAAGACCAAGCTTACGCAGAGTAATGCCATTCTCCGGTACATTGCACGTAAACATAAGCTCTGTGAGTAAAATTGAGTTCTTTGGGGGACCTGGGCTGGCTGATTGGGATCGGCTTCTTTCTGTCTGTCTGGGATTTCTCATTGTCGCGTGTTTTCTCCAGGTGGAGAAACAGAGGAGGAGATTGTCAGGGTGGATATGCTGGAGAATCAGGTGATGGATTTCCGCATGAGCCTCGTGATGGTCGTGTACAACCCTGATTTTGTGAGTTCACCTGCCTCTGTTGTTCACAGCTGCTGTTGCATTGTGGGGATTTATATAGGACAGGGGTTGTCACCTCAGTGCCTGCAGATGCCCTAGGCCTAGTGTTTGCAAAAGCTCTCACTGGTGCTGCCCCAGACTCTGAGCTTTCTAGGGGGGAAAATGTAAGTCTCTAGCCCTACTAGATGGGGCAAAATGTGCAGGTACTTTCTAAGCAATTTCTGTGAAATTATTATTATTGATTAAATCAATATACCACTCTTCATCTGAAGATCTTAGGGAGATGCACAAGATAAAAATGCAGGATAAAAGCACAAAAACAAAACAATAACTCCCCTCCCACATGCACATTTAAAAGGCTGTAGAATCTTAGCCTGGTTGAAAAGGAACATTTTCACCTGGTGCCTAAAAATATATAATGAAGGTGCCAGGCAAGCCTCCCTGGGGAGAGCATTCCACAAACAGGAAGCCACTGCAGAAAAGGCCCATTCTTGCGTTGTTACCCTCTGGACCTCTCAAGGAGGCACAAGAAGAAGGGCCTCAGATGATGATCAGGTTCTGGTTTGGTTTATATGGGGAGAGGCGGTCCTTCAGGTATTGCGGTCCTGAGAGTGAGTATGGCGTGATGACCTTGTATATTTTTCTGGTGCTGGGTAGTGCTCCTTGTTGTTATTAGACAGCCTCAGTGTATCTCTCTGTGTAAAATCAATATTGTGTGATCCCACAATTGGGACTGGCAGGAGATAGCTGATTTCCATTGAAAGCTTAAGCTTGTTGCTGGTGGCTGCCTCTAATTTTGTGTTATGCCATGCCCCCTTTGCAGCCATTTTGTGACTGGTGTCCCCAGCACTCTCTCAAAATTCAAAATGTGTCCACTGTTCCAAAAAGGTGATTGGCCTCTGTTATAGGCTGTCCTCAAAAGGAGAGTGGGTCACACTGTATAGAGTGAGCAATGTTTCTTTCACCAAATGCATGAAAGTGACAGAAGTATGTGACTCTTCCAAGATCTTGAGCTTTTTTTGGACTACAACTCCCATGTTGCCTAGCTAACAGGACTCCCAGTGGCCAGGGATGATGGCAATTGTAGTCTCCAACAGCTGGAGACCCAAGTTTGGGAAACACTGGTCTAGAACATATTTCTAGAAACCTTGCTAGAGATGGGGCGTGTGTGCATGTGCGTGCATTTGTGTGGGATTTACACTTCACAAGCATTTTCTGCAGGAAACACCAAGCTACACAAAGCAACAGTGTTTGCTGCGTAAATGTGAATCTGCTCACAGAACAGCGTGTTTAAATTTCTCCTGTTGATGTTATGGCAATTGATAGAGTTTGGCTTGAGGAAAGTGAAAAAAATCTCCATAAGGCGGCTCTTCTAGGTCATGCCTAATAACTTCTTGTTTTCCTGCCATATTACTCCTTGAAGGCAAGACGCCATCCTGCCTTGTTCTCTGATAATTCTTGCACTAACAGCATCAAATAGGTTGTTGGCTGGAGGGGAGTTATGCTGAACTTTAGCTGAGAACACTGATCCAATCTTCCCCCTCCCCCTTGCTTGTTTTGCAGGAGAAACTAAAACCTGGGTACTTGGAGCAACTGCCAGGAAAGCTGAAACTGTTCTCAAAGTTCCTAGGGGACAGAAAGTGGTTTGCTGGGGACAAGGTATGTGCATGTCCACCTAGAGGCATCTGAAGGCAGGCTTGCTCCCTTTGGTGTCTCACCTTTGAGTCTCTTTCCAGATCACCTTTGTTGACTTCCTCATGTATGATGTCCTCGACCAAAACCGCATGTTTGAACCCAAGTGCCTTGATCAGTTCAAGAACCTTCAGGATTTTGTCTCCCGTTTTGAGGTTAGTGTTGTCTTCCCAAAACGTGCTTGCTTGCAGGTCTTGGCCTGCATCTTGTGACTTGGCTCATTAGCTTCTGGCAAGAAGCCACAAACTGATTGACTACAAAGTTCCAAACTGGCTAGAGCAACTGTCCAAGTTGGCACAAACAGGAATTTGCAAGAAACATTTGTCTGTTTCCTTTTTTGCTCATAAAGGCCAGGGTTCTGAAACGTGCTTTGCTTCAGAGGGAGATGGTGGCAATTTCCCATTCATCCATTATTTCATATGTTCCTAGATGTGACTGGTAGCAAGGCAGTGGGTGCTAGCAATTAATTGGCTCTGCTGACATCTTTGTGGGCTATGAGAGAGAGCGAGGTTTTGTTTGTGTTCTTGCCCATCCCGTGTGATGTTGCAGATACAGCAGGAGCTCCTTCCTTCATGAAGTGATGGATTGCTCCAGAAGCCTCCTGGAGTGTCTTATTTTGTACCAGATGGCTTAGCCCAGAGATTCGGATGCTTCCTGGTCAAATTGCTTGTGAGTGGAGTTCCTCAGCACTGGCACAGCAACACAGCTGGGTCATGTTGAGCTCAGTAGGTGAACACTTTGGCTGCTGTTGTTTTACACATGTAGCTTTTGAAATGCACAGGGGGTCATTTCTCAGTGTTTTTGTACATAGCGGTTTGCGGTTGTACACACCTTTGCACCATAACATTGTGTCAAGGGGCAGCTGCTATCGGTGTTGTCTGTACACACGGTTGGACCTGTCTTCAAACTACTGTGCAATGTATTTCTCTATTCTCCTCCCCTCAACTAGAAGAGACAAATATATTCTGCTTCCTATTTTGCCAATCTCCTTTAGAGATGAGATAAACACGTTGAAGGAGAATGGCATGCACTTACAGTATCAGTAGGCCAGCCCCAGCAGGAGATGACCTGAGAAAGAGCTCTCTGTATACACATGTACACAAGTAGAATGTGCTTGAGAAGTGCATTCTCGGCACAAAGCTGGTTATAACCATCTCAGCAGAATGTGCATTAGATTGTCAAACAATGTAGGACAGGGACAACATGGGGATTATATTGTATGTAAATATTATTATTAATTACAGTGGTACCTCGAGTTACATACGCTTCAGGTTACATACTCCCCTAAGCCAGAAATAGTGCTTCAGGTTAAGAACTTTGCTTCAGGATAAGAACAGAAATCAGGCTCCAGCGGCGCGGTGGCAGCAGGAGGCCCCATTAACTAAAGTGGTGCTTCAGGTTAAGAACAGTTTCAGGTTAAGTACAGACCTCCGGAACGAATTAAGTACTTAACCCGAGGTACCACTGTATTAATTATACTTCTTCAGGTATACTGGAACGAGGCTGTTTGGGGCTTTAAAGGTCAGCACCAACACTTTGAAATGTGCTCAGAAAAGTACTGGGAGCCAATGTGGGCCTTTCAGGACTGGTGTTACATAGTCTTGGCGGCCACTCGCAGTCACCAGTCTAGCTGCCACATTCTGGATTAGTTGTAGTTTCTGGGTCACCTTCAAAGGTAGCCCCACATAGAGTGCGTTGCAGTAGTCCAAGCGGGAGATAACCAAAGCATGCACCACTATGGTGAGACAGTCCATGGGCAGATAGGATCTCAGCCGGTGTACCAAATGGAGCTGGTAGACAGCTGCCCTGGACAGCTGTGAGTCCAAAATGACAGTGCCCCCCAAAGATGCCTACATCCAGCATTAAATACACATTAAACACACAGGGTGTACACACTTAAAATATGGGAACTAAAATACGGCAACTAAGGTAAGCCAACCAACCATGAAGAATTGTGTGGTAGCCAATGCTATTCCTACCCAGACTAGACCCACTGAAGTTAGTGCGCATGACTGACTTGGGCTTATTAAATTCAGTGGGTCGTCTCCGAGTTAGAACTAGCATAGGATACAACCTGTGGCCTTCATTTATCACCTACCATTAAAGAAAAGTTGAAAAAAGGAACATTTTAAAAAATAATAATAATGCAGACTTGCCATTTTGGCATGAGCAAAACCAGTGCCAGTTGAGAGCAGTGTCAGTTTTCCTATGGCTTCTTCAACTTTTGTCTTACTGAGGTGGATTCTTTCACCCACATCCTTTCCTAAAAACATTCTTTTTCTGCACCTCCAGGCCCTAGAGAAGATTGCTGCCTACATGAAATCCAGCCGCTTTATGAAGACTCCCATTAATAACAAGATGGCTAAATGGTGTAACAAGAAAGAGTAGATGAAGAATGAAAATTTCTTTGCTGCTGCTAGACAAGAAGACTTCTTTTTGCCTTGAGTAGAGCTGATTGGATTGACTAAAGGCTGCCCCACCCCCGAATGTAGAACTCTTTCTATAGAATGGTTGGAAACTATTCTGTATTTTTAAAGCTGTAGTAGCCAATAAAGAATGATATTGTTGTTCTATTGAATGTGCCATCATACCTTTATTGGCCATTAATGTGTTGCTTTTATCTTGCTGTTCCGAGTGGTTGTATGAACATGTCTTGCCCATCTGTGGAAGGAGAGGGTTGACATTTCTGTTGGCCTCCTGCTAATTTGAGGTCTAGTGGCATTCTTTATATTCCTATTCTGAATGCTTGCTTTCTTTTCTAGAGAAGGATTCCCTCCCTAGAGTGAGGCTGTTGGGTTAAGATTTGGCTGCAGGTGCAAATGTAGCCTGTAGAGTTATTTTGTTGCTAAATCTAACCTACGGTGAGATAAGAGCATATGCCTAGTAGGAAATACACAATTTTCACAAATATTTTTGAAAAGGTTCTGGACCAGTAGTTACATTACTTGCTATACAGCAAAAACACAAGCAGTTGTGACACATTAAAGATTAAAATTTATTGGGTAGTTTGACACAAATGGAAACATTTAGGAACTAGTTGGAAAACATTCAATTCTCGCAGTGAGCTCCTCCACTCATCTTGAAAGTTCACGTTTTCCCATCAAAAATGGTACTGGGACACTCGGACATAGCTCTAACTTAAGAAAAGTTTGATTCTTTTTCTGGGAGACTAAATCAAGAATGTTTAGTTGGTCATAACACAGCCTTCCTAAACTTGCTACACTAACGTACTGCTGTGCTAATTTGTCCTACTCCTTATCTTGCATATATTTTGAGATTTGCACGGAAATTGCATTGATAATACCTCTTATTTTATGGCATTACAGCCCCACTATTTACAACTTTTTGTATGCACACAGCTGCAGAGGAAAACACTTCACCTTCTTGAAAAGCAAATGGAAAATCATTAACATGTTCCTAAGATGATAATTATGTAGTGGTTAAAGATGGCTGCTCTGGCGGATCATCCTGTCAAGAGAAGGAGAGAGGAGTTGGTGCTGGATAAACTCTAATCATTACATTTACCACATTTACAAACCTCTAAGAAGCTTGAGGTTATATTTCAGAATTGGCTACTTTATCCTAGCAGCTCCATAATGGTTGAGCTTGATAACAGTGACCCAAGCGCTTCTCCATAAGCTTTGTACTAGATGATGGGGCTAGATGATGATTTGATCCCTGGAGCCAAAAAGGGGTTTCCCACCCCCAGTCTTAAAAGTGAGACAATCCTAAAACTGACACATTTAGTGCATAAGAGTGGGTCACTGGTCTCTTTGTCAACTTTCTGTGGGGCTTGAAGAGAGAGAAGCTGGTGCAGGAATGCAACAAGCTATGCATATGCTATCCCCCTGAATTAAGGAACTCGCTGTATAGGAACATACACAAGTAGAAAACCCCTGTGTTCTACTTGTGTACATCTCCCTGAATTAAGCACCCATGGTGTTCCTATAGTCAGGTGCCAACTTGAATAAAATATTGGGAGGCCCTGCATAATCGATCAAGAGACACACTGCTCACACACCATTTGAATGGCAATGCCCATCAACTTTGGGGGGACAGCCCCCTCAAATATTTTATTGGGGGGGGCAAAGGGACCTTGGCCCCTAGGAGTTGGGTCCTATGCCTACATTCATCTCCACCAGGGAGAAACTGAGGCAATGGGAAACTACGTAGCCTGTGCAAGAACACAATGGCATTGTGGCATTGTATCCAGTCAAATATTCCCTACAGGAGGGGAAAGGGGACTGGCTTTCAGCCTGAAGGCCAGATTCCGTCATGAGAAACTGTCTGGTGACTACATACCAATGGTGAGCTGGCCAGAGGCAAAAGTGGGTAGAGAAACAGCCATGGCTCTTAACAGTGAAAAGAGACTCTGACCATAAAGGTTGAGAGGTTTTCATATGCGCCCACACACATCTCTCTATCCTCTGTCCAGGCAAGTGAGAGGCATCACCACAATCCAAGGACTATTCCAGCCAGGCAAAAACACTCAAGGAGGGTGCAAAGCAGCCTGAGGGGTGTGTGACCTGGGAAGAGGCCACCCTATAGCATATTTCTTGCCACAAGACAGATGAGTATTCTGTTGGAGGGCGTCTTACCTACAGTGCTGATTTAATGGTTGAAAGCATGAGAAACACTCTTCCTCCTTCTTCCGGGCAAACTGCTTTCAGCTCCTCTCTGCTCAGTGACAGAATCTGGTTTCCGTCAAGGACTCCAAGGGCCTTCACTGTGCTGTTGAAAGATGAAGAAAGAAGGGAAATTGTACGTGTGTGTGTGTGTGTGTGTGTGTGTGAGAGAGAGAGAGAGAGAGAGAGAGAGAGAGCATCAAAGCAAGGTGGCAAAAGATGGTACAGGCTTGAGACATTCCCAAAGAGAAGAGCACAGTAAAAGGTAAAGGACCCCTGGACTGTCAAAGGCGACTATGGGGTTGCGGTGCTCATCTCGTTTTCAGGCCAAGGGAGCCAGTGTTTGTCCACAGACAGCTTTCTGGGTCATGTGGCCAGCATGACTATACCGCTTTTGGTGCAAACGAACACCGTGACAGAAACCAGAGTGCTTGGAAACACTGTTTACCTTCCTGCCACAGCAGTACCTATTTATCTACTTGCACTGGTGTGCTTTTGAACTGCTAGGTTGGCAGGAGCTGGGACAAAGCAACAGGAGCTTACTCTGTTGTGGTGATTCAAACTGCTGACCTTTCGACCAGCAAGCCCAAAAGGCTCAGTGGTTTAGACCACAGCACCACCTCTTCCTCAAGCCTGTGCCAGGCAGAAGGTAGACTTTGCCTCAAATACAGTGCTAGCTGACCAAGCAGTTTTTAGCCCACTTTATTTTCACAGATCTAGCTTATATGAGTTTATCATTCTGTGTGAAAAAACAATTCTGTGAGATAGCTAAGGCTGAGAGACAACTTCCTTAAATGGGTGACTGAGAATTTGAACCTGGCTCTTTTACATCCAATCCCATCGCTCGAGCCTCTAGGTCACTTTTGGTTCTGTATGGCTCAGCAAACCTAGAACTGGATACAGTGGTGCCTCGCAAGACGAAATTAATTCGTTCCGCAATTCTCTTCGTCTTGCGAGTTTTTCGTCTTGCGATGCACGGTTTCCCATAGGAATGCATTGAAAATCAATTAATGCGTTCCTAGGGAAACTGCCTTCAGACCAGGTCCGGGGACAGTCTGTCCCCCGACCTCTTCTGAAGGCTGGGGGGGGGACAAGGGCTTTTTTCCCACTGCCAGCCTTCAGAAGGCTGTTCTGAAGGCTGGCGGTGGGAAGAAAAGCCCTTCTTCCCACCTCCCGCCCTGCAAGCTCCGGGGACAGGAGGGCTTTGCTGCCGACTGCCAGCATTTTAAAAGCCCCTGCTGTCCCGGGGCGATTTTAAAATGCTGGCGGGCGGGAGCGAAGTCTCCGCTGCCCCGGGGAGATTTTAAAATGCTGGGGGTCGGCAGCGAACGCTTCGCTCCCGCCCGCCAGCATTTTAAGATCGCCCGGGGCAGCGGAGAAGTCTCCGCTGTCCCGGGAAGGCAGGCGGGGGGAGCAAAGACTTTTGCCACCGCCTGCCTTCAGAAGAGGTCCAGGACCTCGTTCCGATGCCCGGCGGCAGGGTGCGAGGTTCCCGCCCCACCGCCCAGCATCGGGGCATCGTTCCGATGCCCGGCGGTGGGGGGAGAGGTTCCCGCCCCACAGCCCCGCTTCGGAGCAGCGTTCCGAAGCGGGGCGGCTGGGGCAGGTGTTCCCTGGACCTCTTTTGAAGGAAGCGGCTGCAGAGAAAAGCGATCTCCCCGCAGCCGCTTGCTTCAAAAGGGGTCCGGGACCTCTTTTGAAGCAAGCGGCTGCGGAGAAAAGCGATCTCCCCGCAGCCGCTTGCTTCAAAAGGGGTCCGGGACCTCTTTTGAAGCAAGCGGCTGCGGAGAAAAGCGATCTCCCCGCAGCCGCTTGCTTCAAAAGGGGTCTGGGACCTCTTTTGAAGGAAGCGGCTGCAGAGAAAAGCGATCTCCCCGCAGCCGCTTGCTTCAAAAGGGTCCGGGACCTCTTTTGAAGCAAGTGGTTGCGGAGAGAAGCGATCTCCCCGCAGCCGCTTGCTTCAAAAGGGGTCCGGGACCTCTTTTGAAGGAAGCGGCTGCGGAGAGAAGCGATCTCCCCGCAGCCGCTTGCTTCAAAAGAGGTCCGGGGGCAGCGGGAAGCGCTTCCCGCTGCCCCCGGACCTCTTTTGAAGCAAGGGGCGGTGGGGAGAAGCGATCTCCCCGCCGCCCCTTGCTTCAAAAGAGAAGACCCGCTGTCCCCGGGGCAAGCTTCGTTTTGCGAAGCAAGCCCATAGGGAAATTCGTCTTGCGAGGCAACTCGAAAACGAAAAAACCTTTCGTTTTGCGAGTTTTTCGTCTCGCGAGGCGTTCGTCTTGCGGGGTACCACTGTATTTCATACAGAACTCAGCACTGAGATCCTCTTCATTTAAAACCACATTTTTGTCTATAGTAGTCTTTCGGTGAAATCTCTGAAGCTAGAGGGAGGCAGAACAGGGCTTACAGCTGGGAAGAATTTCACTCCACTGCACAAATCTCTTGAGAATGGCTTTTTAGCCCTATGGACCATCTCTTATATTCACAACCTTCCCTTCTCCTGTTCTCCCTGAACTTTGCAAAAACCTCCATGTTCTTTGGTTGTAGAACATACTGTGCAAGATAATCAAATCACATTTCATTATTTCTGAGCTTTCCATTCAAGTCATCTTTATACAGAGTTTGGAATTTTTTAAATGCTCAGCACACACCATCCTCGTGATAAAGTATACAAGAGTGGCACTCCCTACTATTCCATTGTTTTTCAATGGAGAAATAACCAGACAGTTTCTGAAACTGGCCCCAGACCACGATAATAGTGCCGCTGTGCTATCGGGCTTTGTTGATGCCTTTTAAGTCTAAATTGAAAGTTTATTATCTTTGCAGGCAGTCTGCTAAGCTATGTATCAGAAACACAGCACCTAGGAAAGGGTGTGGGGCCGAGTTATTTGTTAGGGATAAGCTTTCTTGGGTCAGTTATTAATGCAGCACCTACATCTTGGAGAAACCTTTCA